AAAAAAAAAGTTTTCCACTGTTCTATGCCAATCATTGTAAACTAACATTAACTTTAGGTTAAAAATCAAACTTCTCTATTAGCAATAGTTCGGTAGTTCGGTAATATTCGCAAAAAAAAAAGACAGCGGAAAATGATGGGAAATTAATGCACAATGACTTTCCGAAAAAATCAAACATTTTAACAATTAATCAGACAGAATTGGTTCTAATTACAATCACTTAAATCAAATAAAAATTTTATCACAGACAATCACTGATGAAAAACAATAAATAAGAAATAGTAAAATTTAAGACTGAATAATTGGAATCTTTTTTTTTTTTGCACAATATTTTAAGCTATTATTTATATTAGACTACTATTTTTTTTTTGTTGATTAAAGCAGCAATAAAATTTAAAGAAAAGCAAAAAAATAGTGATTTCTCGTCAAAGATAGACAAAAACGAAGCACTAAAAACTGCTTAATTCTTTTTCTATCTTTTCTTTTATTCACAATAAAGAAATGATGATGTTTATTACTGTAAAAACTATTCAATGAATTTTAGTTTATATTAAAAATGTCTAAAAAAAAATAAATTTCTTTCTTCTTTATTTTCTCCAAATATTGGGCAACACTTAACGTTGATCTGTAATAATTGTGTGAAACTGACAGAAATGAGCACTGACTTTTGAACTGTATACTGTTTAAGGTTAGTTTGCTGCATTATTCTATGGATATATTGTTGTTCTTCCATACCTAACGACAGCAAAAAAGAAAGTGCTCAAAAAGTACATCAATTTGTATTTTTCAAAGTTAGCTAATTAAAAAATTTTGTAAAAAATTTCGTTTTTATCTTCTTTTGAAAAAATAAATCAAAATAAATTTAGAAAAACTGACATTTTTCAACACACTAAAGTTGCCGAAATTTTTATAGTGTTTTCAGGTGATAGAACTTACAGAGTCATAGCTATAAAAGCAAAACATTAGCTAAATTCTTTAATACATCTAAACTAAGCTATTTTTCTAAACAAATTGCTAATTTTCTAGTGATAATCGCAAAAAACAAAAAAATTTCTCAAATTTTTTTTTCATTTAATACATATCATCGATAGCTCAGTTTTTAGCAAAAGAGTGTACAGCAATTTCGCTGGCAAAAAGAGTCTCGAAAACTATTTTTTTCAGCTTTTTTAAAATAACAAGAATGTTATTGTTTCGTTGATAACGTCCAATTCATTGAGACTATGCTAAATTCAAGTTTAACATAATATGCAACAAAAATTTTGCTGCAAATAAGTAAAAAAAATTATACCTTCTTTTGTATTATTAGATATATTTTTAATTATTTTTACGTCTAAACCGATGTTTACTTTTCGTTTCTTAAATTAAAAAAATAAATTTTTTTTTTTGGATGGAAACCTATGTCAGATATTTTTAGGCTTAGATTTGCGAATTTTTTTTTATGAATATAAAATTTTACATTTTCACTACATTGGCAGCTATGTAATAACCTCTGTGATAAATGTTTCAATGAAAGAATTCGAAATATAGTAAAGATATGATCAGTCAGAATAAAAGACCACAGTTTAGCATTATCAGCG